GCTGAGTTCTCCGTTTGGTTGTGTGGTCGGAAATCAACACCCACACTACTGTTTGATTGCCAATATAGAATGACATAAGAATATAATGATAATTATGTTTACTAAACTAATGGAATGAAATAAATTATTATTATTATTTTCTTTTAACAAGCTAGTAGTAACAAATAAATTAAAAATTCATATAGAGCATGATAGTGTTAATAGTTGTAGAAGTGATAGTGTGAGTCGCGGTAATGGTAGTGATAGTAAGATGGTGGTAGGTTGTTATGGCATTAGTGATGGTGATAAGGGGGTGTTGTGGTAGTTGTGGTTACAATGATGGTTGTTGTGGCGGCAACATCGGTTAATGGTAGTAAAATGGTGGTTTTTGCAATGGTGATGGTGATTGTGTGATGTTTAGTGGTTCCAACGATGATGATGGTAGTGGTTTTATGGTTGTGGATGTGGTGATAGTGGTTGTGACAATAGTGGTGGTAGCAATGGCAATATCTGTAGTATGGTAGTGTGGTGGTTAAGAAGGTGGTTGTTGTGTAGCGACAGTGGTGGTGTGGTAGTAGTAGTAGTGACAATTGGATAGCAGTGGCTGTGGTTAATAACTGATCCAAGATTCAAACTTTGGGGGAGCAAATACACATGTAATTTCTTATTTTTTGAAATTATCTTATTATTACTAGTATAATATACATAATTTTTTGTATTTTTTGAGTGGTAGAATAAGGGAATTATGGTGGTTGCTAAATGATATATATATATATATATATATATACTTTAATATATTTGTAATAACATTCCAATGCAGATTTTGGTCATTACCATTTTTCATTTCAACAGCAAAAAATAATTTGTAATATATATATATGAAGGTAAAGGGTGGAAAAGTAAAGAAGAAAGCAAAAGAAAGAGGAAGACCGAGTCATTACTTTCTTTGGTCCCCCAACAAAGTGATACCTTTCCTCCACCCAGCTCTCAAATTGCTGTTTCTTCATCATTAAAAGTCTATCTATGCATTGCTGTTTATGAATGGACTTCTTCATACCCTGCATTTGCTTGCAACCGGAGTGATCAAAATCAGAGCAGACTGTGTTGTTACTCATCTTCATCATGTCAGAGGTAGGTCTTCTTCATCAATTTGGAACCGCATTAATTTAGGAATCTGTGTTTTTTTTTTCCACACTTCTTTCAGGAGTGCTTGGGTTACCTCATGATCGCATTGTTAATCCCTCTTTTTGGATTTCCCTTGATTTTCTGACTCTATATTTGCCTGTTATGATTGTATTTGAATTGGGTTTTTTGTTATGTAGTAGTTTATACAAGCCAATTAGAGATTACCCACTTTTTGTTTTGGGAATGTTCTTTATGCGTTTTTGGTTTTTGGTTTTGTATGATCTAACATTTCACTGTACATTTTGATTTCTCTTTTAATCCTAATTTAAACTCAGAAATTACCCCTTCCAATCTTTCCACACATACAAAAATATTGTAAAATGGGCTTTCTTGAACTCACTTTGTAGTCCTGTTGTTATCTATAAAGTTGTGTTTTTCAAGACTTCATGATATGACCCTTGCCATAATTTTTTCATCTCTCTATATTTAGAGAAATATAATATTTATACTTACCCTTTATTTGACATTGGTGTAGATGGAAGGAGGGAAATGGGAGGATTTGAGTATGGATTGCTTGGTGAATGTGTTTGGGAGAGTTGGAATTGAATCACTGCTATTGGATGTTCCCTTCATGTGCAAGTCATGGTACAAAGCCACGCTCAATCCTCTCTGCTGGCGCCGACTTGATTTTTCTAAAATCTCACTTGATTCATGGTCTTATGATGAATCCATATCAAGATTGCTTGATAAATATCAATTAAATGATAAATTGTCTGTCACTGCATTCATCAAGTTTGTAGTTAAGCGTAGTGCTAGATCTGCCACTTTTCTGTCACTTCCGGACTGTTGCACAGAGGAAGCATTGCTTTATGTTGCAGATGAGTAAGTTCTACAAACTAACTTCATTAAGTTGTTCTATGTCTTCATTTACTAACAATCTGCCACTATGGCATTTTTATATATATCCAAAACTCGAAAGGTAAAAACTCAGCAAATGAAATTGCATAAATAGGCTGAAGGGACAGCTAAAATGGCAGTAGGATACTCTGCAATGGTGGTTTATGAGCCGGAAATACGATCATTGAGCGGTCTAAGAGTCGTTTAACCTTGCAAGTTGCAATGATTTTATTTTTGGCTCTTAACCCACCATTGCAAGTTTATTGCAAAGGTGGATTATTTGCAGTGGATCCTAAACCGTTAAATGACTCTGATTTAAAATTACTTTCTAGTTTGATCAGAAGATGAGGGATGACTTTGTATGAGTTTTTCTTGGTAACCTTTGGTCTGTTTTTTATTCACCAGGTGTCCTGACTTGCGGGTTTTGCTGCTGCCTCGTTGTCTACCTCGTGATCATATGTTACAGATACCAAACCTTATGAGCAAGTGGAAAAATTTGGAGCTTTTAAGGCTTGGAGGCACCTTTCACTTGCAAGAAATCCTTGCGCAAATCAACATTCACTGCAAGAACTTTATTGGATTGGGTATTCCAAGAGCCTATATTAAGCGAGATGAGGCCTCAGCTATTGTCACCCTACTCCCAAACATAAAGCAATTGTTTCTAAGGCATGCATCCATGGAAAAGGAGAACCTAGTGATGATTTTGCAGGGCTGCAAAGAGCTTAAATATTTTGACGTGAGGGACTGCATAGGTTTCGACGAGGGTGATGATGAGATATTAAAGCTTGCTTCTCATATCCAAACATTCGAGCATAAGGGTTCGATGTTGTATGATTATTATGATGACTACCGCCCTTCGTATCGTGACGACGGCTTCCATGATGGAGGCGTCTCTGACTAAAGTGTATTGTATAATGTGTTTGCTTGGGATTGTCAACCTAGACTCAGTTCTAGAAACTCTCCGTTGTGTTGTCTGTAATGGATTGTTATGTAATGGATGAAATATCAAGGCACTAGCTTGTGCTGCTCTTGAACTCCTTGATATTTACTTTTGGCTTTTGTTTTCAACTGCTTCTTTTAACAGCTAACAAATACTTCGCTGATTTGCTTGTCAAACAACCTGAAATAAATTGGTACTCAATTGTCTAATGCTGCAGCTGGGCTGGTTTGTGTAAAGCTTATATCAATTTTCTTAATGGATTCAAGTTGTTTCCCACTATGAAAACTCAACGAAGGAAGAATTCATCCATCTCTGGTGCACGTCCCTATGCCTTCTTGACTTGGAGGTGCGATGTCAGGCATGACTTTCTTAAGTAGCTGCTAGGGATGATGAAATTACAATTAATTTGTTTTTTAGATGATAAAATTATATGTATCAATTAATGTATTAATTAGTATATTAATAGATAATGTATTATAATTTTAAAAATTTTGAATATTTAAAATTTGTATAATAGATAGAGTCAATAATAATGGCATAACACCAATAAGTACACTAATATATATATTAATCAGTCGTGATAGAGGCCTCGAATTTGCCTCGAAAGTGCTCTTTTTTCTTTTTTCTTTTTTTGACTTTGTGTGTTATTTTTATTATTTATTTTGTTTTTTTGGGTGGTTGTGTAGGAATGTACCAAAAAAATTAGATATTTCGTACCAATTCATCGTATAAAATTATATGAAATTAACAAATTGATCAGTCAATTTTATCACTCAACCAGTCCAACCTAATTGATTGATCACTGCTGGTTAAAATTTATTAAGTCCATATAATTTTGTACGATGAGTTGGTGTGAAATGTCTAATTTTTTGGCACACCCTTACATATGACTACCTTTTAAAAAAAATAAAATAAAATAACACAGCCCAATAAATAAAATAAAATAAAATTTTAAAAATTAATCAGTTAATTTTATCATCCAATCAAAATAAAATAAAATTTTAAAAATTAATCAGTTAATTTTATCATCCAATCAGTCTAACCCAACTCACTTGCAGAATGTTTAATTTTTCAGCACATCCTTATACATAAATTACCCTTGCCAAAAGAAAAGAGAAAAAAAAAAAAAAAAAAAAAACTAACTAACTGTCTTAAATTAAAAGAAAAGAAAAAAAAAAAAAAAAGGATTCGAGGCAAATTTGAGGCCTCAGATTCGAGGCCTCAGGCATTTTCCTTAGTTTAATTGGCACCAAATTCAAGCGCATGAATTAAACTCATTCAAATGTTATTGAATTCTGGTATTGTTGACTGATAAAGAGGTAATTAATTATCTTCCGAGAGACTTATTCTAATAAATAGACTTATTGTTCAATAAGTTCTATGATAATTAATGATATTTTTCATCAAACACTATTAAAAAACGTCACTAATTGTTAATTTTCAACGACAATTTGAAAATTTTGACACAAAAAACATCACTAATTATAAACTTTAGTGACAGTTTAAAAAAATCATCACCAAAAAATCACAAATTTTCAATTTTCAACGACACTTTAAAAAATTCATCACAGAAAAAGTCATTAATTGTAAGTTTTAGTAACAATTTATAAAACCGTAACAACAAAAGTTACTAATTATCAATTTTTAGCGACCTATGCAAAAAATGTCATAAAGAATTATTTTAGTGACGATTTTACTATGATTTATTTTCAATCGGACTTGATGAAAGTTAAATCCAATTATTAGGACCCATTAATAATTTATCCTCATTTTCCGGACTTTTCAACTTTCAGATAATACTCTTCATTTTCCATTTCCAATTCCACCCTCCATACACGTGTATCTTGTATGTATATATACACACATTTGTTTTAGTAGAGTAATCAAAATCAGAGACAAGAAGGCTCTGTCTCTCCTTTTCGAATTATTGCTGTAACAAGCACTCTCTATATATGAATCTTCCCTTCTGCATCAATTGCATGATTTCAGAGTTTAAAAAAACTGGCTTCAAATGTTGTATTGCTTTTATTTTTACTCAATATATGAATGTATCCATATCTGTTCGTGTGAATCTTCGTATAATCTCAATATATGAATCTTTATCTTCTGCATGAATGCATGATTTCAGAGTTTAAACAAACTTTCATTTTCTTAGCAGTTTTCTGTGTATGTGTGTGTGTGTGTGTGTGTGTGTGTGTGTGTGTTTTTTTTTTGAATACCTAGCATTTTTTAGTAACGTGGAACAAATTTTCATTTGAAACCTTCACTGGCTACATGGAGTTCTTTAAAAAAAAATATTTTCTTAAAAAAAAAGGTGTACTTAAATAAGAACAACGTAATTATAACTTTCATAAAGTTGCAAGAAGTTGTGGCATGAGAAACAACTCTCACTTGTTTTGATTTGTACATCCATAAAAATACAATTGTTTTGAGTTATTTTCACTAAATGCAATTTTCTCTTCTTTTTATTTATCATTTATGCTTACCCTTCATCTTCAATTTATGCAGATGGAAGGAGAAAAACGGAAGGAATTGAATATGGATTGCTTGGTGAATGTGTTAGGCAGAGTGGAAATAGAATCACTGCTAATTGATGTTCCGTTTGTGTGCAAGTCATGGTACAAAGCCACGAGGAGTCCTCTTTGCTGGAGAAAACTTGATTTTCTTGAAATCTCACTTGATGATTGCACTTCTTTATTTTTCTTAGCAAGATTAATCGATGACTATCAAGTGAAGGGAAAATTCTCTTTCACAGCAATCGTCAAGACTTTAGTCAAGCATAGTGACTACATCCACTGTGTATGAATCATTTCCCAGCTTTGGCTTATGTGATGAAGTACTGTTTTACATTGCAGATCAATGAGTTCTTCATGCCCAATGTTGAACAAAAAGTTCAAAGAAAAAAGGTCACATTTTTTTTTTCCAAACTCAAAACACATTTTATGGATTTAACAACTTCTTTTTTTAAAAAAAAAAACTAATTATTATTTTTAATGTACTTTTTACCCAATTCCAAAACAAATAAGTATACCATGGCACTAGTTAGCATTCGACAAAAAAATGCATATTTTTATTTCCTACTTTACAAATTGGCTTAAGGTAGAATTAAAATTTGACTCTTTGCTGAGTCTTGTGAAAATAGAAGTGATGGAAAGTGCAAGTAAGAAAAAAAAATGTTACTACATGTTTTTAGCATGAAAGTGGGGAAAATACAAGATTAAATTTTTTTGTACAATCCACTTTTGCAAATAACTTACTTTCAATTTCTTGTAAAGTTTTTTTTTTTACAAATATATATTTTGGTAAAAGTAGTCAACTACTAAAAATTTCACATAATTTTCATCTTAAAAAATTTGTGTGTTAAAAAATAAAGTTTATTTTTTATTATTTTTTTATTTTATAAATATTTTTAACTTCACAACATATTTTTCACTGTAATCAAACCAACCCTTTTGGTTTTATTTTCTCTGTTGTTTTATATTAAGGTGTTTGATTACTTTGTATTAGTGGTTGGTAACCCTTGCTATCTTTTTTGATTCACCAGGTGTCTTAACTTAATTGTATTAGAGCTGCCAGCTGATATAGATCATGATGTTGTGTCCAGGGTCCCAAAACTCATGAGCAATTGGAAATATTTGGAGTTTTTAAGGTTTGGAACCACCTTTAAAATGGAAGAAATTCTTGCCCAAATCAGCATTCACTGTAAGAACTTTGCTGATTTATCTGCTTTTCATGCTGATATTAAGAAAATGAAGCCACATCTATTGTCACCTCAGCTCCAAACATAGAGTATTTGGGGTTAAGGTATTCAAACATTGATCGAGAGAGTCTATTGATGATTTTGAAGGGCTGCAAAAAACTTGTATACTTTGATGTAAGGAACTGCAAAGGTTTCGATTTCGGTGATGTTGAGATTTTGAAGCTTGCTTCTCATATCAAAACATTCGAGGATGAGGGGTTGCATTTGGCAACATAACATCGTCAATGTTATTGTGGCATTATTTTGAATGTGATTTCTATATATAATTTGTGTTTTTTTTTTCCCTTTTCTATATACATTGATGACAGTCATACAACTCCTGGACTGAGGGTGTGTTTGTTTGACGGACTAATGTGGGTGTGGTTGTTTGATGCACTAATGTGGGTTTGATTTTACCACAATTAGTTGTTCCCAGTTTTCTTTTTAAGGATTTTGTTAACTAGTGTCTTAAGGGCACTAGTTAACAGACCCCATGAACAATAGCAAGGCAACCAGGACGGTAACCAAATCTGTGCCAAGGCACACCCGCATGATCTGATAAAATTGGGCATGGTTGTTGGTAGTGCAATTTAGAGGGAGAATGCAGAATTAAAACAAAAAAATTAGAGGGAGACAAACTATTACATTTATAGAAAATACTCTTCATACAAAAAATTCATACAAGAAGTGATTTGGCATTGACATGTGCGAGTAGAGTTGGCACAAGTATGACTATACTAAAGTGTGAGATTGTCAAAATACATATAACTTGCATGCCAGCATAAAGTTGGTGCATGGCATTAGCGGTAGCCTGCCAAGAAAATGAAAAAATCTACCAAACATCTACAACAAAAATGTATAATTTTCAATAAAAAAAATCCTAATAAGGAATATTTATAATTTTTAAAACTGCGGAGTAATTCGTATTTAAAACAAAACTCAAAAGAGTGTATTTGTATTTTATCATAACAAAATATAACCTCTTTTACCCATGGACCTTAAAATCATTTCTCAAAATTTATGAAATTAAATCTAGAAACTCAAACACATGCACAACAACCATATAGAACAAATTTTTAAAAAACATTTAAGAAAATATTTAACACAAAAATATCCAAAAAATTATTAGAACAATAAAGTCTAAAATACCAATCGTAAGTAAATAAAACATCTTCAATTAACAATCTCTTAAGCATAGCGCACGCCTGCTTCTCCACCAACCCCATATATTACTAATTAAAACCAAAACAGCATAAATTACTAATAATTAACTGTTAAAAACCAAAAATAATGAAAGCAAAAAACCTTGCACATTCTAATGTTAGGTTCATATTGGGTAACATATATCGTCCATTACATAAGAACAAAAAAGAGTTTTTTAACACCGGA